ACGTCCACAGGTCACCAAACGCCCTCATCGACCCCAGCCTTCAAAATCAAATCCCACCCAACGTGTCTCTCACAGGTGCTCACTGAAGCAGGGCCTCTCTGGGGGAAAAAAAAATGTCCAACATTGACTTGGCAGTGAATCACTCTAATCCCATTTCTTCTCAGTAACGAGTGAAAAACAAAATCCATCCAATGCCTCATTGAGTGCATCCATAACCAAAGACCTACTCTGTAACACTGTCCATTTATGGGTAATAAGCTTTGCTTGAAAAAAAAAATAAAACAAGGACTGAGGTGAACACCCAGGGGATCAATCTTGCAGCGAAAAGCTATTTTTGACTTGGGAAAGAAAGATTTGTGCGAAAGCGGCCGGATAGCAGAAACATTCCCGTCTGGAGATGCCTCCTGGGACAATGAGTGTCAGTCTCACATCACTGACTGTGAATGTGGGGCACTATTGCGAGGGGTACAGGGCCCTTAGTTGAATATAGCCCGTGACTACTGGCTCTGTGAAGAAGAATGAAAAGTCTGAAGTTTTGTGTTGTGCCAGAGAGACAATGCCGCCATAAATTAGGGCGAGATTTAGATGTGGTCCAATCAGTGAGCAATGTGGTCACTCTCAATAATCAGCTCTGCTCTAAATAAAGGCCTTGGCCATGATAAAAAGAGATCAAACACAATACGTTCCCCTTACAGTGTATTGTAAAGATGTCAATAGCCTAAGGGGGGGTCATCAGACGATGAAACGGCGGAATACATGATCTCTAATGCTACGTTCACACCTAAAGTGGGAAGAGCAGCAAAAACGTGCATGCTGCTTCATTTTTAATGCTTGTACAAGTTTAGTTCTGACGCGCAACTCAGCAGGCGGAGCTACCCTGTCCTTTCTTTGCCTGTCAAAATGGCAGCTATATATGCTGTGATCAGTGGGTAAAAAGTAGTTTTCATATGTTTGTAAGTTAGAAAGTCCACCTGAAAAATTCCTCTGTGCTGTCAGTACATCCAGATTACGATCCTGCATTATTATTTCGCTGTCAGAGCCGCTCAGACCCCATCACACTGTCATTGAAAAATCCCATTCAACAGCAGCCTATGGCCCGGTTGTCTCTTCACGGTTTGTCGCAGCGGCTGGAAGGAGGTTTTCATGTACGTAATCCAAACTGCAGGCACCAGGATGATAAAAGCGAACATGTTTTGCCGGCAGATTTCGGTATTTGAGTTAATTTAGGCGTTAATAAACTGTTTTAGGGGAGTGATCATAGTGATCTGCATCAGCGGTGCTGTCTCTCTCCCTGCCAGCTAACAGATTAGCTTCTCTGATGGGTTGATGTGGCGCGTCGAGCAGCAAAAGTTACATTTTTCCAACACCAGCAGCGGCTGTGTTTGCAGCGCTTCCCGCGCATCAGATGCTCAAACGTTAACATCTAGCTGCTCCTGCTACCTTTGCTGCTTTAGGTGGGAACGTAGCATACTGTAAGTACACATCGAACTATCTGATATGATTAGACATTTCATCAGCCTTTAAGAACAGTCTGAAATATATCCATTTACCGCAAGACTCATCTTCCCTACTAGAGACTGTTTATGTATCCACATTACCAGTCCTCAACCTTTTTCCCAGAATGGTGTGAGCTGGAGAGTCCAACAGGCATTACGGAATCCTCATTCAACACTGGTTTGGGTTTACCTTGGCCCACCAGCTGCCTCCCATACTCCTCCAGTTCAGGGGCACGAAAGTAAACTGGTAGTATTTGTCCTAATAAAGGGACAAACACCTAACAATGCCCATCACTATGTCTTGTTTTCAGAAGGTTCTCTCCATAGCAGACAGATCAATTTACAAGGAAGCAATCCTTCCACAGTTGGACAAAAATGAACAAATCTCAGAGGAATCCTCTGTGACACGTCACATGCTGACATGCATGGAATTCAATTTGTGCAACAAACAAAACAAAAACATGATTATCTGATCGCAAGACGTAGTTTTTATTTACCTTAACAGCTCAGAGGACTGACAGTTACTCATGTTCAGTTTCAGGATGTTGATAATTACAATCTAGGGTGATGAACAGGGATTAAAAACGAGTTTCTCAACGGTTTCTTGGCAGCAAAGCCAAACTGTCTAAAATGACAGCTATGCAATTGGGCTACATAGCAAGAACCTGCAGACACACGCTGTGCGCCGATCCCATTTAATCTGGTTCTAAACCCACTGAAAGCTGCAACTGTATCTGATTACAGTAGACTTCAGACAGACGATGTGAAATCATGGAGGATCGGCTTGTAGTTCTCAACTTAAGCCTTTTCCTCCTTAAAGCAACAGGCCTAAATCTTCTGCACATCATGATTTACTGCTTTGTTCTGCAGGGTCAGTTAAAAAAGTTGCCCGAGCTGCTCAACCTGTACCTCTTTTGACCTTCCAAGTAAAGAACTAAAACTGTCGAAGCAAGAAAAATCTTTCTTTTTTTCCATGCCTCAGCAGCCATGATAGTGCTGATATATGATAGTTCCCTAATCCAATGCCATGAACATTTACTTTCAGCCGTTTAAAAGAAAAGAAACGCAGGAATATGATCTTACACTGATAATGTCACCAATATCTATCTTTAAATGTAAAGATATTTGTAAAAATAAACACACTTTCTAAGGGGAAAGATATTTTTTGAATCATGATTACTTGGAGGATCTACCATACATAACAATGGATATACACAATTCATTTTACTTTTAAAAGCTGAACCCGTCCCTTAAACCAGTGCACTATGGGGCTCTGTGCTTCTTGAAAAAGAAGCATCGCCTTTGTTTGTTAGAAAGTTCCCAAGCACAGTTACAGGAAACAGATTTTCTTCAGAGTGCAGCGTTTACCTGGTAGCGTGTCGGTTCAAGGCCGGATCACGTTTATACCCCAAACAAACTGCTGTAGGGTTCATTTACAACCACTGACACCATTTCCAACCAACAGTCTCGGTTTGCATGCATTGATCCGCCCCCTTGTGAGTTTGGTGTGTTTACAAACAAAATACACTAATAGAGAGGAAATTACCCAGAGTTCATGTTGAACACCTCAGATGGAAAAATCTCACTTGGCCTCATCTAGCCAACACTCAGTTTCCCTATTCAAGTCCCCCCAGAGGTCAGTACCAACTAACTAACAATCCTTATGACCACTTTATGACCACAAGATGCTACATTTCGAGCATTTCCCAAACTCAGATCTTTTTCCACCGCTTGTACCATCCTCCTCACTGTGTGTCTGGCAGCGTAATGAGCTGAAACATCCCCCAGTCCTGCTTTAGTCATCCTTTCTGAACCTGTAAGGACCAACCTATACGTGTCTAAACAGAATGGCATGCTGTTTTGATGATCTTGTTTTGAAGAGCAGCCAGGAGCTCACGGTTTGCTATAAAAACCCTACTTAAAAGTGTAGCATGAATACTACATGCTATTAAGTGGGAGCTTAAAGTCGTAGGGAAATCATATTTAAATGTCATACCATTCTGGCTTAAACATGTATATAAATGTTCTCTTTATCAGACTATATTGTCCCAAAAGTTAGAAAATTTCAATTAAAAAAAAATCCTGTCCTAAAATCTGTGGGGGGTTTTTTCGTTATCTTAAGCAGGCCAGTTAGTTATACGTCAGCTTGTACACCTAAATTCGGCCAATCATATATCAACCGTCATCTTTCAATCAATTTTTTTCAGTCATAGCATCTTGATTCATATGTCGCAGCTAATATACGCAATGGTTGAAATAAGAATAATTTCCTTTCCCATTGAGTTCCGTCCCAGTGTTCACAGGGATGGACGTCTGTGTCTTCAGCAGGCGTAGAGCTAACAGAACTGGCAGCGTTGCGAGGCAAGGACTCAAACATGTACGGCTGTAAGCCTTCTACACCAAACCAAGCTTCTGCTTTCCTGGCGTCCTCTTCCACAACATCTTCGTCCCCGCTTTCCTCCTCTAAATAAAATATGTTTGACGGAGGAGACTCATCCACGACTTCTGACACAAAACTCTCCTCCTCTTGCATGTTTCCGCTGTCCATAGCGTTCCTTGACAGTGTTGTTGCCAAGTCACCACTTTATTGCTACTTGGTCCCAATGTAAATTCCCATTGGGAACCTACTAGCACTAAGTTGCTAAATGTTTAGCAAGATCCTTCCGAGACAACTGCCACAATCAAACTTGCTTAAGAACCTTCCTCCACTACAATCCAGCCCTCTTGATAAACCACCAATCACACTCACTTTATTCACTGGTGTAAAGTCAGGCACCACTCAGGAGAATTCGGAAATTCAACGGTTGGAACGACTACGACTTTAAAATTTATTTATTTTACACATCTTCACCTGAAAAGATAATGACAATGATCATTTCAAGTCAGGTTTTAACTTTGAAACTTTTCCCTTAATGGTGTTCTGTTACTCCCACTAAAAACAAACATAATTTTCGACTTTACAGGAAAAGATAAAAAAAATAAGCAAGACAGCGATAAGGCAGGTTGACTGACCCCAGAGCCAAGGCTGCTACAGGATAAAACAGGTACGCAGGCCTGGGTACAGTGTACACTGTGCTGAAAGTGACAGTGTGTACACAAGACAGGAGGAGGAAGACGGCTACATTCCGTTATAAATCCTATCCGCTGTGCTTACGCCGTGACGCACCTTTTTGTTTCCCTTCTCAGCAGCTGCAGGACTCATCATAATACATAATAAAACACAAAGGAGATGAGTTGCTTTGTTAAGAGACGGTGACATAAGATACATGTGCAAACAGATACATACAGACAAGTGTAACAGAATGACGTGTAAGTTAGTGCAAAGCCCACATCCAAAGGGTTGTTGTGAAAACAAATTTTTTACCGGTTCCTCTAATGAGAGTTGAGTTAAGCTCAGATTGTTACCAATGTTTTTCTCAGAAGTTTTAACTTGGAAAACACTTAGGGCAGTCTAGAAACACATCGTTTCAACCATCTGCAGAGCAGGTAGGCTTCCTAACATACCTTTGGAGTTAAACACCTCTTTGAGCTGCAGAAGCACGTCTGCAAACTTGCGTACGTCGCTGACAAGCTGCATGATGTAGTGCGGGTCCGAAGGGGCCGCGTCTTGGTTGTCAGAGCTGACCGAGTTGGTCTTGGTTAACCTGGAGGAGCTGCCGCCCGAACCCAAGCTGGAGCTAGAGAGGCGAGAGATGCCTAGAGAGAGTTTACTTCCACCGACACCCCCGCTGCCACCACCCGATCCGGCTCCACCACCGGAGCTCTGGCGCAGCATGGCTGCTAGCATTCCTTCAGGGGTCCCCTGGCCCGGGGGCCTAAATCCTGGTTTCTCTTTAATTCAGCTCCGTATTCAGACCAGCCGCTGCCGTCCAACAGGGATGGAGAACGCTGTTACAAAGAGAGACAAATGTTAGTCTGACCCCAAACACAATATCACATATCATATCATACTACACTCTTCTTCATGCCTTCTTTTGCTTTTTCAATAAAATGAATATGTTACACCATTTGATTGGCTTATTCTGATTGTTTACTTTCCATACAACCTTTGAAATCCACAATAAGTAGGATCATAAAGTAGGAGCGATGCCTTATCGCAGCTTTTAACAATAGATAGCCATAAAATATACAGATCTTAAAAATAAACTGAGTCCAAAGTAAGCCGATTGTGTGACTAAGATCATTATTTTTACAGTTCAAACCATTTTCTTTAAACCTTTGCTACTTGTTTGCATGTATACATGATATATTACTTAATAGTCAATAAGAGTGCTTAATATTTAAAATACTTTGGCGTAATATTGATCAAGATGGCAAACAATTACTACAAAATGCTGCTAAGTCAAACTGATCTCTATTATACAATTCAATTATACTTTAATTTTAAAATATTGCTTTAAAATGTGATAAAAAGCTGGCTAATTATATTGTAATATTCAAAACATATCATTACTGGTACTTATAAGGTAATGACAACATCCATAAAGGTATTATAATACAACATACGTGCTACAAATTACACTTACATTGATCTAAGATATACTTTTACAAGTTAGGTTTAGATATAAGGTATAAATGTTAAACTTCTTTATTTAAATTAAGCTTTAAGGTTACAGTTCTCAGGGAAATCAGTGCGCACGGTTCTGAACGTAAACACTGCGTGCCCCTTTAATAAAAAAAAGCGTAGATTTCTTCTATTTTTAACACATTTCCTTGCAAAAAGTATTTCAAATTTAGTTTCTAATTTATCGGACAGCTCAATAAGTCGTACAGGCTCTTTGTGGGTCGAAAACAAATCGACATAGGGGCACATTTGTACTTAAAAAGTCGCAACAACGTCAGTTAAAAGTAAAGTATTTGCGCATTATCCATGTTTTTGCGTACGCCGCTAAAGCTAGTTTTCTTCGAAAAAACACCGGAGTTTATTTAGTTAATGAAAAGCAAACAAATTAATATTGAAATATGACTTATAAAAAAGAAAACATATGTTATTTTAGAGAGTAATAGCTTCCACCTAACCGAATGAAACCGTTTTACGCTAATTAAAGTCAAACGTAAACTCACACAGCCTTTGTAGGATCCTTAAACATTACAGGAGCGAAACGCCGTAAAATCCAATGTCCAGAACGGAAAAAATATATAAAAATACAAATTAATCCACGCGCGACACTGTGGTATCCTCTGTAACAGTGGGATAGTGTAGCTCTTATCCCCTCCGTGGGACTCCGCTATATCTCCATGCGATCCACTCTACGACTGCTGAGCGTGGAGGTATGCACGCGCCGTTGAGTTTCCCTACGGAGTCCTCAGTGGGCAACAGGTGCTCATTCACAGGGGGAAGTCGGAAAAAATAAAAGCTTCTGCATCCGCTTTGGCCTTTCAAAATAAATTCCAGGAGCGGTAATTAGAAACGAGAAATTTTAAAACATTTAAGAATAATGCGCTAAATAAAATTATAATAAGAACAAGAAAACTATGTCACACTATACAATTAAAGAAAAATAATAAAATAACTTGTTTAAACAGTGAGTTCAATGATACAGTCAGATAAATGTAATTTCCACATATACAATCAGCCATAGATTATTATTTAATAAAAGAAAACAAACTACGAGTCTTTATTAATCAATCAAATCAAATTAATTCATCAGTTCTAATTTGTATGTGCATAAAAGCTTTATAAAATAAAAATAAATAAAAGCACAAACTAATTTTCGGGGGGTGGGGGGTCCAGATTATTTTGGTGGAAAACGGAAAATAGATTTTAATTAACTTTTCTTTGGTCGAAATTAAAGTCCGGGAGAAAAGTTACTTAACTTTACTAAACCAAAGCTGTAGGAATCTGCAACTAGCTGATTGATTGCGTATTTTTTATTTTTATTTTATATAAGTGCCTCATCAATAAACATGACAAAATGAAACTTTCAACAAAGTAAAACAATTATAATGAGTATCTCTGTAACTACAACGTTTTAACTATACACATCTATGGTAGCCTTTTAGGACAAATTTTATTTTGAGGAAAAAGGATGTGCTTTTCACTCCTTTTTTGCTGTTATAATGCAACAATAAACCTAAACATTTGTTTTACCTTAGTAAAATTCGGTTGACTCAAATTGAAGGCGTTTTTGATAAAACCCATATAATTTAGTTGAACTTTGCTTCTCTTTTCGTTAACTATGAGTTATTTCTCATCCAGTAATTTCTATTTTCTGTCTTAATAAGGTTGGCAAACAACAGTTCACATGTTTTTAAACAGTTGGCAGTTTGGACGTAGGAGCTGTGGGCAAATAGAGCTCGTTGGCGACATCTGCTGGAAAGTTTGATGTATGGCAGTGGAAAAAACGTCACCTAGACAGATTTATTTTGTCATTTTTTGAACACAAAATGACAAAATAAGAACAGCTCCCTATACAATTTAATTTTTTTAAAGTGCAGCCTTGAAAACAGTAGAAAATACGTAGAAACAGTAATATAAACATCTGACCGTATATTTACAGTTCTAACATTTCAGTTTTTTCTTTTGTTATTTTTTTTTGTCGAATCCACAACCTACGGTTCACCCGATAAAGACAAAGATAAACATGTGGATGAGGTATTTTCACAAAATGTGTACATCTTCTCTACATTTTTTGCTTTTTTTTTTTTTTTTTTTTTTTTTTCTCATTTTTTTTTTTTTTTTTTTGTTTTTTGTTTTTTTTTTTTATGTTTTTGGGCTGAAAATACAAATTTTTTCCTGTTCTTTCACAGGTAAGGGTTTCAGAATGAATATAGCTGTATTTCTTTTTAAATGCTTAGATCTATTGTAATATGTTGAGAACAAATCAAAACACACAAGCTCATTTTTAAGCTTCTGAAAGCCATTTTCCTCTCTATATACAAAAAGATTTATCTGAAGCATTAAGTGAAAGGAAAGGAAGAACCATGGCCTTTTAAATAAAAGCATTTGAAGGTTTATGTACCCTAGTAAAAACAGAATCAAAAGGGAACTCTTTGTTTTATCTCGCTAAGAGTGACTAAAACCTGTTTTCAGACTGCATTAAATTGTATTTTTGTCTTTTTTTTTTTTGCACTTTACCTTTCTGTTCTGTGAGTTTTGAGTTATATTTATGAAAGAAACTTAAACATCTGCTTCCTTAAGGAATTTCAACATCTAGCTAAGTCTAGCCCCATAAATTGCCGCCTCCGTCTGTATCTTCTTCACAACCCATTGCTTCCACTTACATCTTACAGATAGTCCTTAACCTTCCCTTCTCGTTGTCAAATCCACAAATTCCTCCAATGTTGCCTCTCTGCTTCCTATGCAGGTGGCCAACAGAGGTGAGACCTATCACTCTATCATTGTCAATAAGTCAATAAGTTTTAACAGTAAAGTAAAAGCAACTAAGTAATTACAGTAACTCAGGTAATGCATTTTATTTATAGTACTTAATATAAGTTGGTGCATTGATCAAAGCAGTTAAATGAAGTAAGAAAAATAAAGTTGTTTTAGGATATAATGTATGTGAATTAAACTGATTTAAAGTCAGAATGGTAAAATGAGTAAGTGAGTCAAGTAAAGTAAGTTCATTATATCAAGTTTAGTAGTTAAATTTAGGTTAGTATCCAGAATAATACTGGTAACATGAAGAAAGTTAGGAGACTAAATTAGATAAGATAAGACAATAAAAAAAGGAAAGTATGTTAAATTTTAATAAATTAAGTACAATTATTGTACTGTTAAAGATAAAGGGAGTATATCCTAAGTTCAGAATGTTTAGGAAGTACACTGAGTAATTATAGTAAAGTAAGTAAAATAAGTCAATTAATAAATTTATACAAATAAGTCAATTAATAACATTAATTTTAAGTTAATTATATAGGACCCTGGGAATATTCAGACTGGATGGATGGATGGATGGATGGATGGATGGATGGATGGGTGGATGGATGGATGGATGGATGGATGGATGGATGGATGGATGGATGGATGGAACTAGGTAAAGTAAGTTAGAAAGGACATTCAGAAAAAAGTACATTAAGCAAAGGAGGTAAACTACAGTTAGTGAGTTAAGATAAGCAACTACCAGTTTTAGTCTGTGAGGTAGACACCCTGTCTACTTTTAGAGGTAGGCTTAAAACTTTCCTTTTTTTTTATAAAGCTTATAGTTAGAGTGGCTCAGGTTATCCTGAGTTATCTCTATAGTTATGCTGCTATAGGCTTAGACTGCTGGAGGACATAGGGACCCCCATTTCATCATTCTGCTTCATTCTATTTTCCCACTCTGCAGAATCTGTTAGTTCAATCTCTAACATCATATCCTCTCTGCTTTTTCTCATAGTAGCTTCACCTCATCTGTTCCTGTTTGGCTGTGACTCCATCCTGGAGAGCTCGTCTGCCTGGCTGTGTGTTTCCTGGACCAAGCCGTCTTTTACAGCTGCTTTCTGTATCTCTGCTTCTGTGTCCTTGAACCCCAGTCGGCCTCAGCAGATGGCCGCTCACACTGAGCCTGGTTCTGCTGGAGGTTTCCTCCTGTTAAAAGGGAGTTTTTCCTCTCAACTGTCGCTACATGCATGCTTAGTGTGAGGGATTGCCTTTGAGTCAATGAGTCGATGCAATCAACTGGTTTTCCTTAGATAGAAAACTTTGAATCAATTTGACTGTATGATCTGGTGAACTGTAAAGTGCCTTGAGATGACATGTGTTGTGAATTGGCGCTATAGAAATAAACTGAATTGAATTGAATTTAGTGGATATGAAATAAGCAAAAATAATTAAAGCATGATTTTATCAATAAAATATGTGAACTAAATTAAGACTTGCAATTTATTTGAGTAAATTCTATAAGTTAAGTCAGACAAAATAGATACATTTAAACACACACTCGGTTCATGAAGTAATCACCTTATATAGAATAATTATATGTAGAATGATGCTTATAAGCCGTAATTTCTGTTAATTACGGTAATGTTACTCATTAAACTGTAAGCTTTATCAATATAATATTTAACACCAGCTTAATGGTTGTTATTATCAAAACATAGTCTTACTATGAAGGCATAAGATTAGATGGGCCTATTATAAAGTAACTTAACGGAAGTAAAGTCAATTAAATTAAATTAAGCAAAAAAATAAAAGAGGACACTAAAAAGTTTTGTCCATTGTGTCTTTTAATTCGAAGATGTTTGAATCCGGCGTTTTTTCTCTTTAAATCAACAACAATTAGAACAGCGTGAAGTTGTAATACTGAAGCAATAAACCTAAAAGCCCCGCCGGTGTCAGAAAATATTTTTCCGCCGCTTTTATTGTGAAAGTCAACCAGGTGACTTCCTGTTCTCGGTCTTCCTTATGTGTGCTTTGAGCGCCGCCGCCGCCACTCACTCCCCTCGCTGCCGATGTTGCCGCTCTCCCAGTGACTTTTCTCTGTTAGTGATGCGGAGCTTGTAGCAGCCTGTTTCAGTTTGAACCGGTACCTGCTGTAGACCTGCAGTAAACATGTCTTCACTAAGCAGTCCGGCCTCAGGAATTCAGGGGCTTCTTCTCAAACTTCACGAATTACTTTCAGACGAAGACACCCGCTCTGCAGCGCTGAAATGTCACGATATAATCGGGGATTTGGGACAGGAGTGCATGCTAACGTCCACCGAGAATGAACTGGGTAAGGGTAACGGCGGCGCCGAACTGCATTCAGAAACTTGTTGGTTGAACTCCAACGTGCCTAAGCTTTTGACAGCGATGGTCATAAAAGATAAATATGGCGCCCTGTTAACAAACAAGGGATGGCTGTCAGTTCGGCGTACAGAAAATATTTCTATAAGCCTACCATGTTGCTTTAGAGCAAAACAAAGAGTCAAAGGAGTTCAAACAATGCAAAGCACCTCTTCTAGTCGTTTTTAATTTTTAACCAAAAAAGCTCATTAAGTAAATTAATTGGTTATAACTTACAATCACTTTTATAGCTCAAATTAAACAGCTTGCATGCTGTTAAGAGAAGCACTGAAACCTTCATTAACCTTCCTGATCTAATAAAGCTTTACAGGCATCTCTGCTGTTCTCCAAAGACTATGGGCTGCTCTGCTTCCTCAGGAAGTCCCTGGCATTGGATGAGGTGAGCATTTTGCACTAATCTCACATTAAACAATCACAAAGAGAATCTAAAATGTTTGTTCCAAACTCTTCCTGTTTGGCTGCGACACCATCCTGGAGAGAAATATCAGCTGTGCTGCTGCCATCAACACCTTTGTTTATAGATCTTGGAGATCATCCTGTTTTTTTCAATGTAGTCCTGT